AAAGGCATGACCTCACTGTTAATATTTAAAAAAAAAATAATATAATAATTTAGTTTAGGTCATAGATAAAGTTGTTTGAACTTTAATTCTTGCATGTAGTTTTTATTTTATAATTACAATCTTAGTATATCTTTAATATATAGTATATATATATAATTAAATGATTACTAAGCAATTAGAAGTTTCTAGCAACTAGTAACTAATAATTACTAAGTGATTAATTTTTGAGCAATTAAATGACTAAGTGACTAAGCAGCTAAGTGACTAAATAACTAAGCAATTATTAAATGACTAAAAAGTTTTAGTAACTATTATATAATAACAATAATACAATAATAAGAGTATAGCAACCTAGTGAAGTGGTCAGGTTGTCAATTCTTCAAATGGTAGATTAGGTGTTCAAATTCTATTAATAACAAAAATTTGAATAATCACCTATATAAAATTCATATTATAATAACTATTACTAATAATTAAATTAGAATATCTGTAATAATAGTTATACTAGCATGACTGGCAGGTTATAGAGCATTTATGCAATATTTAAGTTATATAAAGAAATGCAAACTAACAACTAAGTAATGCAAATACTAGATAAGTCCTTGTAATTATATAAATCTATTGAAATTGGATAACAAGAAGTCCATTTAAAAACCTAAATAGAGAGGTGATCAGATCTTTAACAGTACTACTGTAAAGGCTAGCCTGAGAAAATAGATACTCAGGTCTTAATAACTGAACAGACAAAAACCTCTGAGTTAGGAGTCTTAGAGATACTATTAACTAAATTGTCAGAATGAACTAAAAGAAAATAATATTGAACTAATCTAATATACTGATAGACTAATCATAGTTTTACATAGGCCATCTAAATTAGAAGTTTAACAAAATTCAGAAATATACTAAAGTACTAGAGTTATGCTATAAAATAAATGCTAAAGTCTAAGTAAACTTTATAAGAATATAGCAGTTTAATGATTAAGTCTTGATTGCAAGTATTGGTTCTGTTATAGCAATATCTAGGTCAGTTGTAAAAATGAGTACAAAAGGCTCTAAAGAGTTTACCTTAAGAATAAATTAGTTCTAAAATTGAAATGATAATTTGAGCATCTGGATATAATCAAGTAAGTTAATACAGATTACAGATTTAGAGAGTTTAAAATGATATATCTAAGCAGAAATATTAAATATAGCAATTGGTAAAAAAGCTTTAGGCAGACTCCTTAAATAGGTAAATAAAAAAGTTATATATATAGCTAATTGTATACTTTTTTTAAAAAAAAAAAATTATTAGTAAGGCCATATTTTTAACTTTATTGAAATTTAATTAAAGTTTTTATAAAGAAAAGCTTGCTTTTAAATTACATATAAAGAATAAAGACTTAGATATATAATCTGTGATCTAAACCTACAAGAATGACCAAGACTCATTTAGATTTAGATATTAGTAATAATATAAGATAGAAGAGTATGATATTTAATCTATTGGATAGTCCAAAGGTCAATTTTGATAATAATTTGTAGTACTAAAATAGGTAATAAACTAGAAAAAAAACTATAAGTTAAATTTGTAGTAAGTGTAATTTGAGACTGTGCAGAATATAAAATGCAATATGGAATCCATATTTGTTTATATATTTGTTAATTTAAATGAAGAATAAATTTAATAGAAAAAGAAGTAGCTGTTCAGTAAGAAATAGAAGTATTATGAATAATAGAAATAAGGTTAATAGAAACTAAACCAGATAAAGTAAAAATAAGAGATGGCATGTATAAAAAGTTATGCAATTTAAAGCTATTAAGTATAAGAATTTCTTAATATAAATTAGAAACAAGATTGAAGAACATATCAAGAGCAGTAGCATTTAAGATGCAATTAAGAGAATTAGAAATTAAGTGATAAATTGTTTAGATAAAAGGACAAAGAGTCCAGTATAATAAAAAGCTAATTTGATTGCATTGGTGATAAAAAAGAGAGTAAAAGGAGTTATATTGTAAAGAATATAAGGAACAGGTAGTTTATTCAAGAGAATTTTAACACAAAAGGTTTTTAAAATTAAGGAGTAAAAGCTATAGGCAAAGTTAGAAACCTTTTAATTATTATTAATGTAAAGCCAGATGGCTTCTCAGTTAATATTAAAAGCAATAGTAGACTATTGTTAGAAATGATATTGGAATTCAATTGTATACTTTTCTATAGTAGTTTATCAAATTATATAATAATACAATAATAAGAATAACTAATATTAAATAATAATAATAAGATATTAATAATAATAAAATAATAATTATAAGAATGACAATTTTAGTATAATGGTTAGGTTGTTATTCTCTAAGTAGCAGGTCTAAGGTTCAAATTTTACTTATGACAAAATTTAGAAATTATATTTGCATTATAGTAAAGGTAGTAACAAATATTACATAATATTGATAAGGAAGAAAAGGATAAATCCAATGTCTTATAATCTTGAGTACACCTATTTGCACATTAATACATAATGATCGATCAATTAAATAGAAAAAATTTGATTATTCCAGATCAGCTTGACAAAGCAAAACAAAGCAAAAAAAGTGAAACCTGAAAAAATATAGAAAATAACAGTTTAAATCTATTGTGAAGTATTAATTAAAAGTGTCAGAAAAACAAATTTACTTATAAAAATAATTTATCTTAACTTAACTTAACCTTAATACAGGTACACTAATCCTAAATTTTAAAAAATCTGCAATCATATATTAATGTACAAATAAATGCATCCATTATAACTGATAAACAGCCAACCAAATATTTCTTTTACATACAATATTATTGATTAATAATACTGTAGTTAAAAAATTTAAAAATAAAAGTACAAATCTAAGATCAAGATTTTTAATTATAACTAAATAGACCCAAAGCCTTATAAGTATAAAATTTGATTCTTTTAAACAGAAATAACAAAAAATAATACTTTTTAATTCTAATCAATGATCTTAAAAATGAGATTAATATGGCTTTATTTGCAAAAGAAAGATTTATTGTGTTTTTATATTTATTTTATTTGCATCATGCTTATTAATATGCAATAGATAATATTTTTACTAAACTAATATATAATGATAATATTTTTACTAAACTAATGAGTAAGTATACAGCAAAACTATGCTTAGAATATATGTATTATATATATTCTAAGTATAGTTTTGTTGTTTTTTTTTTTAAATATTAAGGTAAGTACATGTGACTCAGGATTTTACTGATAGTATAAGTTGGCTAGCACCTGTACATGTACAAACACAGAGGCAATTACAGAAAGGATGTACAACTAGCCACTCATACAACTTTTAGTCATTGTCTAATTTAAGTAGTCTGTCCAAAGGTTCTACACTAGTTGCTATATCTAGAACCCACCTGTAGATCCTCTATTTAAATACTTTGATCCTGCATTTATTACACTCTACCAGTGACTCTGATAAACCAGTAAAGATATACCATGGTCACTAAGTCATGTTTAACTTTGTACTAAACCTATCAGTGTGTTTTGTATTCCATACTTACAGCTCACCCAGTCACGCTTTGGTCTAAACCATTACTTGCAGTCAGTGCTAACTATTAAACTGCTTTTACCCTTGTAAGGTTTACCCAAAACCCCAGTACTCATCTTTCCAACATCCTCTCTATTGTCTTCTACTAACTGCTACTTAGAACCAACAGGACTCTCCAGACTTCCAATTCAGATGGCCTGGTATGGTATACCTTAGTATCCTTTTCCTTCAGCGATTTCAGCGACCTGATTGGTCATATGCTCCTCTATACATCTTGCCATCCAGTTTATTCACCTATTCCTTTAGGAGTGTTTCATAGGCTTCTATCAGTCAACAATACTGTCAAAAGTTTTGTGCTATCTCCTTATTCAGGATTTTCAAGTGAGTCTCCAACTCTTCGGTTCCTTTGCTTTCTGTGCCTGGTAGTCTTATCGTGGGTTTGCACTGAAGTCTTATACAACATCAGTTATTAACATTTCTCTATGTGGGTGTAATGTTACACTTAGCATAGATGCTCTGAGCTCCCATTCGAGATAGTGCAACAAAGATTACAGATACACCAATCCAACCAATTAACAGAGACAGTTACCATAACACAAACTTATTTTCCAAAATTTGTCATCTATGAGATTTGAACTCTAGACCTGCCATTTGGGGGTTGACAACCTGACCATTTCACTAGGTTGTTACACCTCTTTAGCATAGTTTTGTTGTATATTTACTCTAATACATAACTTATTAATAAGTAAATATAAAAAATTTCTATTTTATTATTTTATTTGGCATCTAATATATATTCTCTGTATGGAATTTCATTATGAGAAAGAATTTGAGTGATATTTTGTAATAATAAGATCATAAAATTATCAAATGTTGCAGAATTGGTTTCATGAGCTACTAAAGCCTTTTTCAGAAGTTTTCTACAGATAAAAGGATATTGTAAGCATTTATGTCTTGTTAAATAGTTAAGAGTAGGAAAATACTTGTTGCAAATTAAACAACAGAGCCAAAAATAGTTTTTTATCAAGAAAGAAGTAATGAAAATTATAATCAAGTATTTTAAACTGGTCAAAGTATTGGAGAAGGTGGATAGGATTTATATAATGACCATCTTGTGCTTTAATAACTAGAAAAAGAAAGCCACTACTAGTCATAAGTAAATCTATAGCTTCTTCTGCTCTGATTGGATTACAACATTTAAGATCATCATATCGTTTTATATTAAGTGCATATTAATATATATTGCAATGTTTTTCTATTCAGAACTATGATACTAAATTATTCATAATCTCTTTTTTTTTTTTTTTTGTTCTTCTTCAAACTCAAGATTAATAAATAAATTAATGGTTTTGTCAATATAATTTGTCACAACTTTTTTTTAAAAAATATGATCACAATACCAAATTTTACATAAAGCTTTACCAGTATAGTGAAAATTTTGTGTTGCTAAATCTGAATTAACAACTTTTCCTTAGCTATCCAAAATGATCAATTGGAAGTGTTATTCTAGCAAGCTTACCTGAAAGAGTTGCCATAGCTCTCTTAACTAGATTATACTTGGATTGTCTTAAAGCATAAATGTGCATAGTAAGATAGTCTAAATCAAATTTTTTAAAAAACTTACAATATAAGAATATATTTTTAAATGTTTAGGATTTTCATCAGAGCCTCTATTAACTAACAAAACCCAAATTGGTTTAATATTGTTATCTATTTTCAAAGTTTTAGCATATTGTAGATTTGATATAAGATAATTAAGATCTTCTATATATGTTGCTGATGATGTTTCCAATGACCATTGTAGATGTATAAATATTGCTAGTTGTTCTGAATAAATATCATTATTTGTTTTGTCAGATTGAATAATAAGATAAACTAATAGTACTTGTTTTCATAAGGAAAATCATAGTTTGCTACTTTAACTGGTTCAGCAATTGATAGTAAGGTATAGAAGGTTTTACTTACTATGAGTATTCCAAGACCAATTTTAGATTTATCATCTTGAGATATTATAGCTAATACATCTGCAAAAGCTTTAGCAAACTGCTTTGCTCTTTTAACTAAGACTAAGCAATAATGCTTATTCTGATGTTCTTTTGTTTCATCACATAAAACTCCAGTAACAGCTACCCAAGCAGAATGGTAATGAGCTTTTGCTACAATTAATTTAGAATAGTAAGATAAAAGATAATTATTTAGAATAGACTAAAACATATAAATATTATAATTTTCATCAAAATTCTGACAAAGATGATCTATAATTTTGACTTTTATTGCTTCTTTTTATCTCTATATATTAGCTGCTCCATATTCAATTGAATTATGAATATTATCAAGCAAATTAGAATGTTGCATTAATAGTAATAGTCTACCAGATTGGTTATATCAAATTACTTTATTTTGTTCTTCTAATACTTTGCTCTTTTTATTTTTATATTTTGACTAATACATTGCATTTTTTTTTAATTTTTAATTTGCTGCTTTTAAGCTTGAATTTTATCTCGAAGTTTTTTTATTTTTATTAAAAAATCATGCCAATACTGCATATTAGATAAAGCATTATACAAAAATTTAAGCTCAATAAGCTCTTTTTCTGCTAATTTTTTACTTTTAGCTACTTTTTTTTGGACTATTGCATTAAAGTGAATTTCTTCTGTGTTATCAAATAGTAGTGCAATAGTAGTTGTAGTAAGTTGTAAAGAACTATTGCTTGTAGAAGCCTGTAGTTGAAATATAATAGAACAGAAAACCCTTTGCATATCTAATGATATATTTAAATATTGTATAATAATATTGTCAATCTCTATTTCTTTTTGTTTTTTAATATTTCATCATTCTTCTACTACTAGTTCGCAAACAACTGATCGATTAGGATTAGGTATTTTATTTTTAACCATATAGTTGTATGTATAAGTATTAGTAAAGTTTTCATATTTAGTTCTTGAATTTTTGTATATAAGTTTTTTATTAAACTTTGGATTTGAAATAAATGTTTGACTTATAATATTAGAATTACAATTAGGTTCTATAATTTGCTTATTATTTTTTATATTTATAAGAATTTGAAGTTAAAATACTTACTATTAATGGCTAACAACAATATATTTACCTTTTTCATTTAATTTTTTGTATTACTAATATTATAAAAAAAAAAAATTATACAGATCTATAAAAGCAAGTTTTAAATATATCAAGTATATAATTCAGAATAGTAATAGAAAATTTGGCTATGTATCTAATATTGGAAAGTATTTCTTTTCTATCTATAATGTTTGATTTATTTTTTTCTTTTTTACATATTTTTTATTTTTATTTTTTTTGTCATTTTTTTATATAAATTTGAAGCAATATTTTATTAACACAGCTTTGATTTGAACTTATAATATTTTAATTATAAATTCTATTAGGTTTATGCTTTTTTGACAATTTATTATTTTTGATTGTTTATTTTAAATTTTATACTTTAATATAAAATTTAAACTATGCTTTAATTTTTAAAGCTTTATAATCCTTCAAAATGCACATAGTAAATTTGTACTATAATAGCTGAAAAGAAAAAGTGATGTATAATAAATATATAGTGTAGCTCTAACCGCTACTGGGTTAAATATCCAAGATTTCAAATAGGCATAACAATTTTACAAAAAAGAACTAATAATAGTAAGGACTTAATGCTACTTTTTAATAAAAATAAAATTCATTCTTTTATTAAAATTGATGCTATATCTATTACAGTACTATATTATATCAGAAGTACTATGCTATCATCTTAGCCTTGTGTTAATATGCATATAACCTTATATTGTAGGCTTTAACAATTATGATACTAATTTGGTTAGATGCTCAATTATAGCAAAAAACATAAATTCATAAAATCAATTTATTTATTAAAATAAACAACTTAGTTTTGTATCAGATACTATTTACAGTTAAGCCTACCCAAACTGATTCTATCAAAACTAATAATCTATTAAAAATTAATCTATCAAGTTTGTTTTTACTATATGAATTTAATAATTTATAATAATTTCAAATCTGATAACCTCTTAATGCTAATACAAAATCTGTTTATCATGCATATCAGTTCAACTGTATATTATTATATGATATATTGTATAGTAGTATAACAGATTTATGACTTGCACTTTGGGGCCATTCTAGTTATGGTATATACATATTTATTGCAATAATACAATTTGAGTTTTTAAAATATTTAATTTTTATAATATACAATAATTTGCAATTTGATTGATAAGTTAGTATTAAAGATTATATAGTTTAACTTTGTAATTTTATTTGTCTTACATGAAAGAGAGAAGGAGTAGAGGTATATTAAAAAAATATTATATAATATCTGTTATTACTCTAACTGTCTTCTGTCGATTGGTTAGCCTTATGTGGCTGTAACCTAGGTACACCAAGTTTGGTCCTATCAACATTAGTAGCTTAAGGCATCTATGCAAAATGTAATATTATATGTACATAAAAAAAAGTATAACTGGTGTTGTATAAAACTTTAATGCAAACTTATGATAAGACCACTAGGCATAAAAGACTAAGAAACTAAGATAATAAAAACCTATTTGAAAATTCTTGAATAAAAAAGTAGTATGAACTTTTAACATACTATTAGATCAGTTAAAGTCTATAAAACATCTTTATAAGAACTGAAGGTTAAACTAAATGCTAAATATGTATAAAAGAGCATATAACCAATTAGGCTGCCAGACTCATCAGAGGAAAAGAATATAAAAGTAAATTATACTGGGCCATCTGAATTGGTAGTCTGGGAAAGACTGCTAATTCCAAGTTGTAGCTAGTAGAAGATGATAAAGAAGATGCCAGAAAGATAAGTATTAGAGTTCTAGTAAACTTTACAAAGATAAAAATAGTGTAATGTAGTGATTAAACAGATAACCTCTGTAACTGCAAGTGTTAGATAACTATAGCATATTGAATAAAACTAGATTAGTATATGTGAGATATAAAGGCTCTAATAAGTTTCTTATTAAATATAAAGTAGTTCTAAGAGTACTAACTAGCATCAGAAACTTGGATGAATATAGCCTTAAAGATGTTTTTATGATACAAAGAAGATTGCATAAACAAAGGGTTTAAATAAGCAAGACTTTTAGTTAGCTTACAGGTATTGCATCTAGTGTAAAACTTATATAGCAATGTATAAGCAGACTATTTAAATTAAGCTCCAAAAGTATATATGTGACTAGTTGTAATCTCCAATATAAGGTAGCCTCTGGTAGCATGCTGTGTCTTATATACTTGAATAAAAATGTTATATTCTAAAGATAGAGACTTTAAAAAAAATAAAAATAAAATAATAATAATAATAATTATTTGTTCTATAATATTTTCATTTTTTTTAAAAATGTATTATGATCATATACTTTAGTTATAAAGTTATTTTTTTTAGTTGTAATTTGAGAAGTTTAAATTTTTAGCATCAACTCTCCCTGATGATCACTTGTACCGAATTTCATATCAACAAAAACAGAAAACTTATTGGAGAAGTAGAAGAAGCTACTATACAAATAATGGTTTTTATAAAGGTCAAAGTGGTTCTTCTACACTGGACTCCTTTATATATTTAGCAAGCAAACTAAAAACACGCATATACAAGATAACTGGCAGGAGGTGCCCTTGTATAACAAATTTTAGTAGAAGTCTTGACTTCTGTTAACAAAGTTAAAATAGTAGGCCTTATAGAAGAACAATAAGCAAGTTTTCAATATACTCACTAGAAATTCAAGAATACCTGCTAACCGAACACCACTACCATATTCCTCGCTTAGTTTTTTAATAGAAGTTTTTACAAGAAGTGGGAATTTAGCGTACCTTTTATGAAAGATCTGCAGAAATCGTCCATTTTGGGAATAGAAGAATCATCCCTTTTCTGGAATTAGGAGTAACTCTAAGTGAAGTGAAAAGGCCGACTGTAGAACTGGTGGGGAAGAAATTAAACACTGACATCTCTATCATCGAATTACATTTACATATAGTATAGACTTATTTCTAGAATAGAGACTAGAAGTAGCAGTACTATATAATTTTTACAAATTGCTCTGGCTGGGGCTTCAGCCCTCTTTTTGTTTTTTCTTTTTCTTACTATTACATGTTTGTTTTACTGTTTGTTTTGATTTGGGTTTTGTTTGTTTACTTTTGTTTTTTTTTAGTTGTGTTCTTATTTGTATTCATTTTTATAACACCCCTCTTTTTTCAGCCCTTTGAGAAGAAAAAAGAATTTAAAGAAAGGATTGAAGACAGTTAATACTTGTCCCGGAGAGAGGAATCCTTTCTGATACGACTTTAAGTAGCCAGATAAGCAGTCTACCTTTGACTGAGGTAGTGCAGCAGGTTGCACTTAGCTACCAATAAGATGGCCGGGTGATGCTGGACTTAGCTATTAGGAAAATTCTATGTAGTTATTGTATATAGTTGCAAGAATCTTAATAAAGTACTAGCATGGCTGCTTAAGAGC